TTTGTATAATAAAAATTTTTTATCAAAGCAAAAAATAAATTTTGATTAATGATAGAATTAAAGTTATAATCTGAGATAAAACAAGAACATAAATTATATTAAACTTTTAGAAAGAATTTTTTTATTAAAATTTCAAAGGTGGTTTTATAGTAAAATTTTTATATACAGAAGTGGTGCAATATATTGCAGATGCAATAAATTTTAAAACCCTAATATTATTACTTGGCTATTTGGCTGGCCAATAACCATGACTATTGGCTGTGGCTATTGACCAAATTGGGCAAAAAATAATGATTTGGCCAAAATAGCCAAATATTCATATAGAAAAGCTAGCAATATGATTGGTTAAGGTTATAATTTAGAAACTTTTGGCCAAAGTTTGGATTCTGGCCATTGGCCGGCCAAAGCCAACAAAATTGGTTGACCGCAAGAAATTGCCAACACTGATTGTAATTATTGCGAATTTGTATTACATTAAATTCACGTTGATTGATTGATTTATTTAGCACGATTATTGTTTGCTTTTTACAAATCCCAGGCTTTATCTTTTAGTCTTGCGGCTTGAAATTCTCATATTTATGTTCAACAAGACCCAAAGTTCAAAGAACCCAAAATGGGGTTTTCAAGAACCCAAAATAGGCATAACTTTTACAAGTAACAATGCCAAAAGATTCTGACACGTAAAAATAATCATTATTGTTAAAAAATTTTTATTGGCTGATCTATTTTTAGATACCACTAACAACACATGCAAATTCAGATGAATATTTAATTTCCAATATACACTTGATCGTGCAATCTGATTAGCTCTCTATATTAACCGATACGTACAAATAAGTGCTCTTAAAAAAGAATATAAAAATATCAATTTTCCAAAAATATATATACCAGTGGCTTTGATCGCTTTAGAACTATTTTTATTTTTATTGTTTCTTATTTCGTTTATAAATAACAATATATAATTAATAATACAATAATTGGCGTTTACGTAATTATTTTGATAATCATACTATATAGAAGGGTTAATCCCAATTCGGATCGGATGCATATTGAATTCTGAGAACAACTAATCATTTGGTCATGGTCTAGAAAAATCGCCATCTGACACTTGCTTTCAAATAATGATTTTCTAGGGATGTTAATCGGTCATTGGGGATCGAGTCCTAACCGAACCTGGCAGATCCTTTCAAGGCTCGGTCCTTAAATCACATGAAAACATAATACATTTGTATATGATTTAGATCCTGGATCGAATTATTTAGCAATACAGAATTAAGTTGGTTGGATGAACTTATTCGGAAGATCCCAATTCAGGATCTAAATCCTATATAAATGTATTATGTTGTCATGTGATTTAAGGATTTGAATCCAGGATGGTCTTAGAAAGTCCTAGGCCGGATCGGACCGGACTCGTAAATTAACATCCCTATGATTTTCCTAGTCAATCCGCATGAGAAAATTGCATCATAAACTCATACACGGATTTTCAGATCTAGAGATCATGCCCGTTTCAATCAATATACATGAGCATATCAACATTTTCGAAATAGATTATTGACCCTGTAACTTTCTTGCATATCGGCCAAAATTCAAAATCAGTCGAAACACGGTTGGCATTGATAAATTTTGTTCAAATATTGCTCAAAATTTTACTAATGAAAAGTAGCTCACATAATGTTGCCTAGATGGTAATTTTGCTGTTAATTAATATAGGGATGCACCTATTTGGAATTTAGTAAGCATTATTTATTTAAATGTTTACGTAAGCCAATTTCAGTATAAGCTACTACAATTATTATATTATACATTTCAGATAGCAATATGACTATTTCTATCAGAATGCCGGTCTGATCCGTGAGAAACGCTAAACCCAACCTTCTAGAACGATATGCCATTTCTATCATTCAAGTTATTTGAATATCAAATATCGATCTATATATTAGTGTTAAGTTTTAAACTTTTCAGATACGTACGTACGTACGATATAAATACAATAAAGTTATTAAATTTTTTGATAATAAAAAATTTCAGTTGATCAGTGTAACGTAAAAGAAATGCGAACAACCAAAAAACCGTTCATGGCTCAACATTGCAAAAGTTTTCCTTGCGAAATTTTGGCTAATTTAATAGCAAAACCTAACTTCATAACGAAAAATTTTTTTAAGGCGGTGACGCTAGGGTCTTAAAGAGGGTCAAATTTCGAATTTTGGCCTAATTAAGCTTAGGCCAAAATTTGAAATTAGACCCTTGTCGCGTTATTTCGTGAAAATACGGTATATTTCACTTGTTATAGATGATGCATCAATGGTTGAAGCCTCACATAAACATTAATAAAAATAAGAGCTACGTAGACACTTTTAACAGCTAAAAAATGTTAAAGATGGTAAACAAAATGATTATAAATAGATGTGATTAGTTAACAAATATGCCAATATAATTATTCATTAAATACTACGTATTTATTTTTTAATAAATTTATTTACAGTGATTAAACTAAATGAGTCGCATGCGACGCTTATTATGTGAAGTTTATTATTTAATCACCCTAATCTATAAAATTATAAGGGTGTTTATAGATTTGCAGTTGGAAACAATTAAGAGAAAATTTTCAAATTAAATAATTCGTAACTTTTTAAATTTTAATTATTAATTGCTACTATAAATGAAAATATAAACTATTTATTAATCAAATCACCACTGTGAATATTCTTCCAATTTATCCATTTTTTCTCTTAATAGTCGTACAACTTCTTCTAATTCTTTTACTCTATCACCATCTCGCCCCCACATACGTCCCAAATTTGTTTCCGCATCATCAATTGGTTTTCTACCCCACCTATCTTTAGTATCGACCTTAATCTGAGGTAATGATAATAAATATTGCACCGTGTTAACCCGACCTTCAGAAACAGCATGATGTAATGCCGTTCTATGGTCAAATCCAGTTCTGTTTACATCCATACCAGCATCCACAAAATGTCGTAATAATTCTTGGTCACCTTTCGCTGCAGCTCTGTATTAAGAAAATGCATATTTAAATTCATTTTTTTTTCTATGAAAAATTTTTTTAAAATGATTACTATATTAAATGTTTTTAAACTTACGATAAAACTTGGAACATTACATCATCAAGTTCAGATTCATTAAAATGCGCACCAGCCTCCCTTAGTATACTAATTACATCTCGACGTTTATTTCTTGCGGCTTCATACAAAGGAGTATGTCCAAATCTATCACGCATATGGACAGATGCACCGTGTTCTAAAAGAAACTTTACGATTTTATGATATCCTCCTGTACATGCAATATGCTATGAAAAACAATTGAAATTGTAATGGTAAATAACAATAATAACAATAATAATAATAATAATAATAATAATTATATAGTAATAATAGTAATAATAATAATAATCGTAATAATAGTAATAATAATAATAATAATAATAATAGTAATAGTAGTAATAGTAATAATAGTAATAGTAATAATAATAGTAATACTAGTAATGGTAATAATAATAGTAATGGTAATAATAATAGTAAAATAGTAATAGTAATAATAATAGTAATAATAATAATAGTATTATATTATAGTAATTATAGTAAATTTTCTAATTTCTTACCAAGGGTGTTCTACCATCGTAATCTATACAATTTAAAACCAATCCTTCATAACTATCCCAAAGCAATTGTAATCCTTCTAAATCGTCTGTTCCAGCCGCTGAACACAGTAGAATAGGATACAGAGATTTTTCCAATAAAACTTTTTCTTGAACGTTCATCATTGCTGAGTCAAGCGATCCTTGTTTAGAATCCACAGCCGCAGCTTTTTATAAAGATAAACGTTTTTAGACAGATAAAAATTAAAAAAAATTTGAGATATTTTTCTACCATACCTATCATATTTTGAATAATTTTATGTGTTCTATTGTGAAATGTATATCTTGGCCTAGGTGCTACGACAGTGAGTTCACCCCTCAAATTTTTAGTCATCAACATTCTAACGGTTTCCGGGGAATATTTTTCACATTTTTCATTCCGATAACCAAGTAGGAATGAAAGCTTCACGAGAGCACACTTTTTTTTTAAAAACATATATATATTAATAATCATTGATAACGCTTTTACTCTACAAACAATCTTAAAATTAATATCAACTAACCTCAGGAGTCATATCATTACCCGGCACAACACCAACTTTAGTCAATGCTTTGCCTGTAGCATAAAGATCGGTTACGGTTCCCTTTTTGCATTGTGTACAATTTACTATCACAACGCCTCGAGCAGCAGCCTCTTTTAAAGTACACATAACATCATCACGAGTATCTGGCGCATTTCCAGCACCATATGTTTCTAATATCACACCTTCAATTGGAGGGGCTAATAAGGCACGTACAGTGGATTCCGTTATGCCCGGGAATAAACGTAAGTTACTTACATTCCTGTTTAAATTTTTATGTGCATGAAATTTGGAGATTACGGAAGGACGAACAATTTCAGCCCAGTTTACATCTATTTTAAAAGAGATTAAAAAAGATAAGTAGATTTAAGTAGGGAATAAATAAAAATAAATAAGTAAATCAATAATGATAAAAAATTCATACTAATATTTATCCCGACCGTTGCCAATGGAGATAAATTTGGAGAATCAAATGCATTAAATTCTACAGCGTTCATCTTGACGGCTCTGTTACCACGAAATAAGCGGTTGTTGAAGAATAAACAAACCTCGGGTATTACGTAATGACCGGCAATAGTAAGTGCACCGAGTAAATTCTCGACAGCATCATTTCGAACTTCAGATATCGGAACCTACGTTTCAGCGAATTCCAAAATAGCGTCTTTTAAACCAAATATCTTTGATGAATAACTTGATCCATGCACCAATGCGCTCATATTCAGTATTTTTCCCACATACCTGAGAACCAGTTACTATTACAGTTTTTCTGCACAAATCGATTAGTGATAAACGTTAAAAAATTATTAAATTTTTAATTTTAAATAGGAGGAAAATTTCAATATATACATCGGAATGTTAAAAATCCCAGATACCCCAAATTTTCCAATAAAAAACTAAGAGCACTAGCAGTATAAGCCATAGTATCAGTTCCTAATATACATATATATTAAAGAGGTTAAAAAAAATTTATTTAGAAATTAAGAGAGTAAAGAAAGGACAAGAATAGCTATACCGTGTAATATTATGAAAGCATCATATGATTGATAATTTAGCTCAATATCAGTTGCAATTCTAACCCAATCTTTAAAACAAATCAAAAATATTATTAAGAAAAATTTTTTTAAGAATAGTTAATTATATTATAAAAATCTTGAAACATATATTTACCATCACTTATCATATTACACGAATCCAACAGTGGTTCATACTCGACTATAGAATATCTAATATATTTATCGATTGTTAGATTTTTTTGGGAGGGATAAAGATTAAACAACCAAGAAAAACAACAAACACGTTAGATCCATTACTTTATCCTCTTTCCTTGGAAAGAAGGTGGAGTCACTAAGACTCTACTCGAAATACACATTATTCCCGAATCCTCAATACCCCAATAATCTTTAATAAAAATTTTATTAGAATACATTGGATTTTCGTCATCACAATCATCATAATCATATCTCAAGCTTTTATCGAAAAAGCTTTGATCATGAAATCGAGACATTTCAGCAAGTGTATTTGTAAAATAATTTGGAACCTTATTTTTTAAGATTATAAAATATTAAGAAATGAATGACTTTACAGAAAAGTCGAAAATAAATGAAAATACGAACAGGAATATATCCATTAAGATGAGTATTTTTCATGCCAATGGTACCACCCGTATAGATCACAAGAACCTGCGATAGATCTAATATAATAAAAAAGAATGAAACATTATCCTCTATATATATTTCTTTTTTTTTGGTTTTTTGGGGTTTTTTTTTAAAAAAAAGAAATGGTTTAAACAAGAAATCTAACCAGGAACGGTGGATATATCGTCAGGTTGTGTCATTTGCATTGCTACCGAGACAGCATCATTATGAATAGTAGGTTGATTTGCGGGAATTTTTAGTTCTTCTTCTCCCATAGAACATTCCGAAAATTCTGTGAATGTTGTCTTCATTGAGGGGTTTGACGAAGTAGAATCTTTACTTTCGTATCTTTTGTCCGTTGAAAGAAAGCTACTATTTTTATCTTTTTGTTCTCTATAAATATAATTTCCATTTATTTGTTCTGTTAAAGTAAAACCTTGGTTGTTCATTTATTCAGATAATATAATTTTTTTTTCGTAAAATTTGTAAAAAAAAAAACAATAATAATAAATAAAAAAGAGATCAAAAGTGATTAAGGAATTTTTGAACGAGTTTTGGATTTGATCTTTTTACCAGTTTATATACAGTATACAGATACTGTATGTAGTGTACTGTATATACATAAATAGATATATACTATATATGAGCAAATACCAGAAATATATTGCACTATATTACCATCTCAAATTTGGAAAGGATTATCGAGAAAATATTAAAATTCATTTTACCAATGACCTAAATCACAGTAATAACAGTATATATCATTCGTATATCGCTTGATTTATCATTAGTTAGGTGATATAATCATTATGACGATTAAATTTTGCTGAATTACGTACTGTACTGTACGTACGTATATATAATTGTTCACAATTTGTTTATTATATATTGTTCTTTTTTAACAAATAAATATTTAATCATGAGATTATTACTGCACAAAAAAAAATTTACTATGTGAATATATTAGTAAATTTTCAAGAAAAATCTCGATTTTTCTGGATTTATTACTTCCCGAATACTTAAAAATGGAAAATGGGGAAGCATTAGTAGGTGCATATGCATATGCATTTTCGTGTGCAAATAGCGATTGATAAAATTTTTGGGTCTATTTAAAGTAGGTTGTGCAGTCAAAGATATCAAAAATTCGGAACTTTAATGAATTTACCTGCATTAGATGTTACACGAGATTCATTGAAGCGTAAACAAATTAACTGGTTTGCCTGGTTTGCTGTTACTACCTTGCTCTACGCCCTCACGTAGGTAAATATTTTAGTTATATCTATATAGCAATACCGAAAGTAGATAAAGATAACGATAGGGATAGAGAGATAGGGAGATTGAGAGATAGAACAATAAAAGCTGCTAATTTACGTTATTTATTACGATTTTCACATGAAAAGCTCCAGCCCTATAAAATATTGATACTTTTTAACGATAAAAAGAAGTACATTGGGGTTAGATAAATAATGATCAAATACTTAAAAAATATCGATATCGTTACTGAATACGTAATCTTGGGGGGAATTATCAGAAATATGTATCACACATAAACCTTCGATTATTAACCTGGAGTGAACCGGACTATGGCACAATAACCCCTTATCATGAACAGTCAGCTGATTTCCCATCCCCTTAATTCTGACTTTGTTCACAATGTATTAGCGTTAGATTTAAATGTTTTCCCGACAAGGTTGGAATGTTACAATGTTCAATTGTTTCATTATTTAGGACATTCGCACTTAGAAAACATTGAACTGTATCGGTATGTTCAATACAGTAGGTCGGTGCGTGATTCATTAACGTTAACTGTAAATGTCCTAGCCATAGTGATTTGAACCGAGAAAAAGTTCCTTAATCGGTTAACCGAACCGAATTATTTAATTCAACCGATTTCCAACCGGTTAAGATTAACTATTTACCACCATCGGAAATTCTCGGTGCTTTACTCAAATTTTTGTCTTGTCTTTATGTTCATTCATTTTCTTTTCGGAACTTTT